TCCTTCAAACCCAGAGCCAGGAGACTTCAGGATCAGAGCTAGGAACTGAGGGCGCCTGGGAGTGGCTCCCTAGGGGTACACTCCTAGGGGGTGCTCAGAAAACCAAGTCTCCCCGCTCACAGGTGGTTACCACTGTTGCACCAGAAACTTAAGAACAAAGCATCACTGAGGTGAGCTGGACATGGGCAACTGTAGAGCTAAGCTCAAGCCCTGGTCATATTCACCCACTCTCCCACACACGCGGCCTCTCTTTTCAGTTAAAAAAAAAAAAAAAGGAACTGGCTTCTGGAAGGACACCCCTGTCTTAAACCCTCCCCTGCCCTCTCAGGTCATTTCTGTCTCAACTCTGCCCCCTGGTGGAGTAGGTAGGTGCAACCTCCCCAAAGCGGAGAGTGGAGCCCACTGAGCCACTGAGTGCTTGGGGTGGGGGGGTGTTGTGGCAGGGGAGGATGGGGGAGGAGAGAGGCCAGCACCTGCCAGCCTAGCACTGGGCCCTGAGGAGGTGGGACAGGGTGAAAAGCTCCAGGAGTCGCTCAGCTTAGAAGGAGTGGAGACACATGTTCAGAGGGGTGCCTTTTTTTTTTTTTTTAAGATTTATTTATTTATGCATCCAGAACTGGGGTACAGGCCAGAGGTGCAGGGGCGGTGAGAGGATTCCCCAGAGACAGAGTGGGGAGCAGGATAGGCAGATCGACAAAGTACACTGCTGAGGGGAGCAGCGGGCGGGCCAGGAGAGGTCTGCCACGCCATGTGGGTCACCTCCAGGGCAGGGATTGAACTCGTGCTGCAGTGGCTTACGAGAGCTTCATAATGCACTGCTTTAACCCATTGCACCACCAGGGAGAGCCCTTAATCTGTCTTTTAACAAGATCCATAGGTCAGTGGTTTGCAACCTCTGTTGCCTCCAGAAGGCCCTGGAAAATCCCAGCCCACTGCTGTCTGGAAGTCAGGGGACAGTGGCCAGTTTGGTGTTTATTAAAGCTTTTGGGTTGATTCAATATAGGATTAACTGTGGGAGGCCTCTGGTGGTGGCCCTGGCTGTTAGGAGGCGCCCTGGGGGCGGCGGGCGGGGCAGGGTCTGGGGGTGAGAGCTGAGCAGGGAGCGGGGTCATCTGGCTGAGGGGTCACCTCCACGCCCGCCTCTCAGACACATGCTGTAGGCCACAGCTTATGGGGGAAGCCGGAGGCCGCTATGGGCCCCCACGGGTCTAGTCTGTCGGCTCACAGTCGCTTCTCCAGCCCTGCAGACCCTCAGGCAGGTCCCTGGTGCCTCTGCAATGTCCCCGCTGCAGGCCAGCACCCAGGACTGGCCTGGCTCGAGGCAGAGCTGCCCGGAGGCCTGGGTGGGAGGGCAGGGGAAGGAAGGACGGATGAAAGGTGGGTGCCAGGTCATCCTCCCCGATCCCAGCCACCACCGCGGTGCCCCCTGGCCTCAAGCAGATGGCTAGTGAGGGCAGGGCAGGGGCTGGGTGCCTTTGCTCCCGTGGGGCCTGGCACAGTCAGTGTTCCCTAAGCACCCTCCGTGCGATGTGGGATGTGTGACTCCATCTGCATCCCCACTGCGCTGGCCGCCCAAGGCCAGGAACCAGGCAGCTACCTGCCGCAGGGCAGGCACCCCGAGACCCTGGGTCTTTCCCAGGGTGCAGCTCTGGTGAAGGACCTTCTCCCCTGGACTGGGACTGGGACTGGGACTGGGTCTGGGGGTGGGAAGGGTCTGGCCACTAGATGGCGCCAACAGCCAGGGCTGGGCTCACTGGCCGAGCACCCAGCCCTCCATCCCAGGCTTCCAGGTCCCAGGGACCTTGCTGCGAGCTTCATGCCTGGGGAGCTGCATTCCTGGGGCACCCAGCAGGTACCAGGAAAGGAGGCTTCCTTCTGGGGGACTTCAAACTGGTTGGAGACAGCAGAGTGGACAGAGACCATGTGAAGAAGGGATCCCGCCAGGTCATAGCCATAAGCTCAGCTCACTGTCCAGCTGGGCAGTGAGGGCAGGGAGGAGTTCCAGGCATCTCGGTGCTCATGTCCCTAACCCCCCAGCAGCTCCCAAAGAGAGACATGACATCCCTGCAGTGCAGATGGGGAAGCTGTGGCTCAGGAAGTTTCCCAAGGCCACATGGAACAGTTACCTGTTCTCTTGGCATTCACATTCAACCGAAGATGAGGGCGACCTTCCAGGACTCGGCAGGGTCTCTGAATATCAAGTGACGCCACAGCCCCACGGTGACCGACAATCCCATACCCTTGCCAACAGGTAGCCCCACAAAGTTCTGTGTCTCAAGTACATAGAAATCAGGTACAGACATTGCCCTTTCCAAGTTCACACTCCAAGAGGGAAGAGGGCCTCGCTAACATGATCTGGGGAAAGCATGGAAGGCTTCCTGGAGGAGAGGGCTTTTCTATTTCCTTTACCACGAACATGTTCTGAGGACCTGGGAATTGGTCAGAGGGGGGTCCATGAATACTCACAAGGTTCTGAGTCTTCTAGGGTCACAGACAGACAATGAATCTCCATGTAGTCAGAAAAGGGTGCATTGTTGGGGAGGGGCTGGGGGCTTGGTTTCAATGACTTGAGGGTTTGGGGGTTTTGTTGTGTTGTGTCTCTGAGGAAAAGCACACAAGGGGAGGCAAAGTAATGGCTGCTGGGTGGAGAGGACGAGTGCTGCCTACCCTCAGGACTCCTTGTTCCTACCAGCCAGGCTTCCTCAAGCCACGTCAGCCAGGACAATGAAAGGACACGAGCATCTCTCTGCCATCCTGGGTCTCTATCTCTGGCTCCGGAGAGAAGCCACCTGTCTCTCCCCAAAGGAGGGAGAAGTTCAGTGACATCTGGACAAATGAGAGCCAGACTTCCTTCTTGGGTACTACCATGGGTCAGACACTTTGTGGGGGCCAAGCCAGCTGTGCCCCCCAGGCTCACAGGTGTTACCCTGCAGGACACACAGGCAGGTAGCTAATTACTAACATGCAGAGTGTCTGTCAGGGCCTGTTAGGGACCCCTGGGCCCAGGGGTGTGCTCAGGGCTGGGTCTTTAAGCTGCAGCCTGAGCAGGAGGTGCCAGTGAAGAGAGGTGGGAAGAGCTTTTCAGCCACAGGGAACTGCATGAAGAGCCACCACTCAGCTGGAGTCAAGCAGTTGCCTTTGAACTCCAGGCTTCTTGGTCCTACTGGGTTTGAGAAGAAAGGGGATGGGACACCATGGTATCTCAAAACAAAGCACGGAGAAAAATACGTCATGCAAGGCTTTTGAACACTATAAAGACGGGAAGGTGATTGCAAGCCCTTGCGCCTTGAATGCCCTGCCTGCCTGGCAGCCCCCCCTTACCGCTGTCATTCCCCCACAGGACCTCGCCCCAGCTGCTACCTCCATGGCCTTCACCACGGCACCTTTGGAGGACACCTCACGCCCCCAGTTCTGCAAGTGGCCCTGTGAATGCCCACCGTCACCGCCCCGCTGCCCGCTGGGGGTCAGTCTCATCACAGATGGCTGTGAGTGCTGTAAGGTGTGTGCTCAGCAGCTCGGGGACAACTGCACAGAGGCCGCCATCTGTGACCCCCACCGGGGCCTCTACTGTGACTACAGTGGGGACCGCCCGAGGTACGCAATAGGAGTGTGTGCACGTAAGTGAGACCCTCCTACCTTCCAGCCTCCCAGCACCCCCCTAAGGGTCAGGGCCCTCCCCCACTGCCTTCTCTCTGGCCAGTCTGTGATTAAAGGGCAGAGCCATGCCGGGGAGGCAGCAGTGTCAGCATGCCTCTTGCCTCTAGAACTGGCCTCCTGCTTTCTCCTCAGCCCTAGAGCTGCATGTATGGCTGACCCCGGGGAAAAGGAGAGCCTTTGCCCAGTTTCCTTATTTGCTGATGCCCATAGTCTCTCAGGGCCTCCTGGAGAGCTCTGGGCACTTTAGTGTTATTGTCAATTCAAATGCTTTGGCATCAAACCCCTCAGCAGCAGTGAGAAAATAAACCCAGCAGCCTGCCCTCATCCCTTCCTGCCATCCACCCACATTTTCCCAGCTACTAGTAACTTTTAGCTTTTCAGTCCTTTCTTCTGGTGGTCACCACTATATAATGCATGCCTGCTGTTAAATCTTGATTGACTTCGGATGTCAATTTTGGATAATTTATGAATGATCTTATCTTATAGTTGATTTAGCTCCTCGGTATTACCTGCCACCTTCCTTCTCTTCCATTATTGCTGTCACACTTTTAGGTTATACAATAATTCAGTATATTCAATATTTTATCTATGTAACTATTGTTTGCTGCAGCCCGAGAAGGTACAGTTGCTTGAATTTCCGTCCTTGTGGAGCCTTTGTTTTCCCTGGGGTCTTTAGTTGCCTTTGCTTTTTCTTTACTCTTTATCTCTATAATAACCTGTGTTAGGAAAGGGGCTGTGTTTTGTTTGTTTGTTTGTTTCCTCTTCTTTTTTCCTCAGAGGCCTCATTTTGGGGGATGTCTTGTCTTCTGTTTCTCTCTGGATCGATATTCACCTAGTGTGAATCATCTTAGCATTTATCCAAGATACATGACCTAACATGTATGGAGAGAAGTGACTAGGCATCTTGGCCCAGTAGTTTAACTTCTAAAAAGTTGATTAACACAAAGCTTGATTAACTCAAGAACACCATCCTTCTCTTCGTGTTGAATTAAATCTTCCCCATAACCATGATTCCATGCACCTTGTTATATATTCACACACAGCATGTCTCTCATCCTTCGTGAACCCATTCTGTTAACTAAGGCAGATTTCTCATGAGGTTTATACACTTAATTCTAAGTTAGGTCATCCTGTCTGTACCTTGTAGTTATTTCATGGTTGCTTCTGCTCTTTTATCATTAGTTCATACTTCTACTTTCAGACCAACACATCATCTGTCCAGCTTTCGAAGTGACTACCTTTGATTCTCCACTCATTCTACTTTGTTCCTTTTACTGAGACTCATTATTAGTTCCACAAAACAGTGGGTTCAAAGAGAACTTACCACACAACCTGCACAGCATCATCAGATGTGTTGGTAAAATATGCTTTTCTAGAACTTCACCCCAGGGTTATGGAGTCAGAGTCTCTGGAAGTAGAGATGGGACTTAGAGCCTGAACAAGCTTCCAGTGATTCTCGTGCATGCTGAGATGTGAGAGTGTATAGCCATTCATAGACCCCCTCCCACACCCAGCAAGGAGACCTGGCGGAGTCTTCCTGCATGAGAACCACTACTAGTTAGAGGACATGGTCTCATTTCCATTCTCTTTATAGCTGTTCTTCAGGTCATTAAGGAGGTAATTGTGTTCACTGCAATTAGACTAATCGCTAAAGCTGTATTGACATTTTGCCCTGTGCCAGGCACCACACTCACATAGACATTTTCTCGTGAACCCAGAGATCAGGCACATGCTGAAGCCATCCACCTGCCCGCATTCCCCCCCACCCCAGGGGCCAGGAAGACCACCTCCCTGACCCCTCTCTCTATGTCAAGTCCTGCCTTCACTCGCTATGGCCTCTTATTTCCCCTCATCATGAGTCTTGAGTATTACCTTCCCTTGTATAGTCGGTCTGCAGGGGATTTTAATTGGTAGTTCACTTGTCAGGCCTTCCCTGGTCATATAGGTTTGCAGACACCAGACTGAATAGCTAAACAATAGTCTCAGAGGTTTTCAATGTTTGTACCCACTGTCAAAAGGGAGTTACCATAAGAAGCCTTTTCTTTTCAAAATTATTTACACAGTAAATTCTTTTTGTCCAGGTAGGTTTTAAATCATGCAGTCACTTACCCACTACACACACGTGCACACAGACACAGAGTCACAGATACACAGATCACACTCAGCCATGGTCTATGTGGACAGACACGTGCTATTCACTAGGGTTCAGCTGAGCTTCTCAAAAAGCTGATATAGTGTCTGAGTTCATGAGACCAAAGTGCAAGAAAGAAGAGAAATCAAGGTCTGAGAGATGGAGGGGAAGGCACTCGGGGCCAGAGAGGAAAGAGCAGGAAGGGTCCCTCCAAATAGACAATATTTTAGCGAACGGCCAACTTAACCAATGGATAGTTTCCAGGACAGGCTGCATCTACCCTGGCAGAGGAGCAAATTCAGTAAGTCAGGGCAAGGCAGGACATAAAAGGAGCAGTTTCGACTCTGGCATTTACCCTTCAAGAGTTAGGTGGGCACTGTGGCAAGCTGTCCAACGCAAGCTCAGGCAGGCAGGGTCACCTCTCCCGGGGCCCAGCCACTGTCAGCAGGCAGGAAAGTGAGCTCAGTCTCCCCCAGGGTGTTCTGCTGCCACAATCCAGATTTGTGCCTGATTTGTAAATGTTTGGCAAGCAACGTGCTCCAAAAATATTTTTTTTAACATTTCTTTGGCCAAATGAAACATCAGTGGGTAGAGAATGACCTCTGACTTAGATGCTTTGGCTATTTGGGGTGTCCAAACACTAGTCTGCATTCAATGCAGTGGGGTCAGGCCCCAGGGCAGTGTGGTTTGCAAAAGGATCATGAAATTTACAAGCAGGCAGATTTGGTTGGAATCCTGGCGCTGCCAAATGCTGGCTACGTGACCTGGGACGCATCACTTAAGGAGCTTGATAAAATCAGCCTCACGGGGTTCTTGAGAATAAACGAAGAAATGCAGGAAGGCTTCAAATGTGATTCACCACCCTGGTTAGCTTGATTTGCTTTGTTTTAACTCTACCCCAGTGCAGCTAGCTGTGATTTCAGTCCTCAAGGAGGGCAGGGCTATCTAGTTCCAGGCTCAGAGGACCCACTCAGTGTAAAGACTCAGGAGGAAGCAATTTCCACAGGTCTTCTGAGATTGGCTCCCTAAGTGAAACATGAGACACTATCACTAACTGGGACTATGACTTTAGATAGGCTACTTACTTCTTAAGTGTCAATTTCCTCATCAAGAAAAATGTAACAAAGGTATCTAAGTGTTTGGGTAGCTGAAATATTGAGTGCCTAGTAGTAGGAGTCCAGTGAACACTAGAGCTCACCCCATCTCACATCCATCTACCCATTCATCCTCCCACCATCCACCCACCCACCCATCCATCCATCCATCTACCCACTCCCCCACCATCCATCCAACCACCCACTCATTCATCCACTCACTCACCCATCCATCCATCCATCCATCCATCCATCCATCCATCCATCCATCCATCCATCCATCCATCCATCCATCCATCCATCCATCCAACCACCCACTCATTCATACATCCACCCACCCATCCATCCATCTATCCACCCACTCACCCATCCATCCATCCACCCACCCACTCATTCATCCACCTACCCACCAACCCACCCACCCATCCATCCATCCATCTACCCACCCACCCATCCATCCATGCAACCACCCACCCATTGATTCATTCACATATTGAACTTAGGTGAGTGATAATACAACCATGGGGTATAACAATGCATGATCCACCTTCTCTGTCTCCAAGAAGGTAGCAGCCCATCAGGGGTGTGAGTGCAGGAGTGAAGGACCAGTTGTTAGAACAAGGTTTTGGAAACCCTTCTTAAGAAGTAAGTTCTCCGGGACATGCCTGGATTGGAAACCCGCGATTAGACAGGCGATGGTAAAGGAGACTGAGTCAGCTTCCCCAGCAGCAGGGAGCTGGTCCTTCCATTAGTGATAAGAGACTGAATGGGGAGGGAGTGTTCGAGGTGCTGTTGCACCCACCTGCAGCTGTCGCAGGTAAGTACATCTGGTTTCCCTCTATGGCTGGCAGGCAGGCAGGCAGGTCAGAGCCAGCAGCATCACCTCACTGTCCTTCATGCCCCCAAGCTTCACTGGAGTCTGAGCAACTTCGAGACACAGTGCGTCTCAATTTTGGTTGCAAATTGGATTCACTGGGGGATTTTAAAATCTTTTTTTAAAGATTTATTTATTTGTGCATACAGAACTGGGGTACAGGCCAGAGGTTCAGGGGCAGCGAGAGGCTTCACCAAAGACAGACTGGGGAGCAGAACAGGCAGATCAATGAAGTCCACTGCTGAGGGGAGCAGCGGGCGGGTCAGGAGAGGTCTGCCTCGCCATGTGGTCACCTCCAGGGCAGGCGGGAATCGAACTCATGCGGAAGTGGCTTTAGCTTCTTAATGCTGTGCTTTAACCCGCTGCGCCATCAGGGAGGGCCGGATTTTAAAATCTTAAGGCAAAAAAACTAAGTAAATGCCAAAGCCCAGGTCCACCACCATATTCTGGGGCACAGTACAGGCATCAGAATATTTTTTACAAGATGTATTTATTTATCCATACAAGAACTGGGGTGTAAGTCAGAGATGTGGGGGGTGGGTGAGAGGATTCCTCGGAGACAGGGTGGGGAGCAGAACAGGCGGATGAACTAACATACACTGCTGAGGGGAGCAGCAGGGAGTCAAAAGGTCTGCCGTGCCATGTGGGTCAGCTCCCTGGCCGGGCTCGAACTCAGGCCGCTGTGGCTGTGGTAGCTTGACAGCTCCGTCTTTAACCCCTGCACCACCAGGGAGGCCCCAGCACATCAGAATTTTTAAAAACTCTCCCTATGTTGTGATGGAGCAGCTGGCAGCGAGTAGCACTGGGCCCAGGGCTCCCAGGGACTTTTACTGCCGCTGCTGAGTAAACTTGCCCACACTG